TTCAAGATCTCTTGGAGATGATCTACAACCCTACCAGATGTACGAACATGCTCTAAAACATCTCAGCAAGTGATTATTTAACCTTGGACTGAATTTAAATGGGGCTAAGGAACTCAATACCTCCCAGAAAAGTTCATTCACATTTCAGATTGCTCTCAACAGAGGTATTTCTAAAGTTTCATTATATCACTTCTAACTTAAAAATTACCCAACAAGCCTCTCCTTTTCTTGTTACAATAATATCCTTATTGCACAACATCTTTATCATCACAATATGTGTTAGTTGTAAGCCAGTGGGACGGGGTGGGGGGCGTGGAACTCAACTCATTGCCATCAAGCCAGAACTAACTCATAGCAGACCCTCCAGCATGTTATCTAAGGATGTAAATAGTACAGGAGGAAATTGCCCATCTTTCTCCCTCAGAGCTATTGGTGGAGAGCATTATGCTAAGTAAACTAACTTGGTCCCATAAAGACAAATACTGTATAAGACCATTATTGTAGAATGTGTATGAGGACCCAAGAGAGGGAGGGTGGGAGTAGAGGAGGGAGGATGGGCAGGTTGGAGGGGGTTAATCATAGGGCCACACAATTTGATGGGTAGAGAGAGGAGTGGGTAATGGAAATGAGAAAGATCTGGTGTGAAAAAGACAAAGTATATGAACTTTGTAAGTAAATCAGCATAAAATAAAGATTTTCTTTAAAAACAAACAAAAAATAGATCCCTTAAAACCTATTGGTTGTGAGGGATAATCATTAAAACTGGCTTTTTAAGAAAAGTAACATTGAAAAAAAAAAAAAAAGAAAAGTAACATTGAAAAGTGACTACTTCTAATGATACTGTTGCCATTGTCTATAAAGCATTGGTGTGACACCAATTGTACGTGGACCTTAATTTTTTTCTCTTGTAAAACAAAGGGCTCTTATTTCATCAAGTTCTACACTGAAAATTTCATTCTCTCCTGACTGTACCTTAGATCTTAGCCTAATGGCATATAATTTTATTTATTATTTATTTGTTATTTGGGAATTTTCAATGAACAAACAAATATATTCTTCTCATTCATGTTTTTCTTACCTTTCCTTATTATTATGGACATGGTCATTTAAATTTCAGCATATGAACTAAAATCTTATTCACAGTGACATGGTAAATAAAAGAAATCAAGTAATAGCTTCAATTTTATAATTCTTTTCCTCTTAAAACAAGCTAAAACTTATTTTAAGGATTCAAAGGAGCTTGGTCAATATCTAGCCCAGCCTCTCATTAATGGTAAAACCCATAATGAAATGTTCTTTTTGTTTTGCTTCTCAACTCTTAAGCATTTCTAGTAAAAGGTGCTTAGTGTTGTGTCGATTTAGCCTGTTCTGGTGATGAATAGCAGTGGAGAGCCCGCCTTATAGAGGACTCTCAGTGTTTACTGAATGGCGTGATTAATAGGGTTCTTGGTGGATTTTTGTTTTTACGTTGTGCCAAGATCTGCTTCTTTGGAACCAGCCTTTGGTTCTGCCCTTTTTAACATGGCAGATAGATATACTCCTTGACACTCAGCAGCCTTGCAACAATTGAAATCCAACTACCGTAGGTAGCCTTCTTCCCCACCATATCACAAAAGCTCAGCCTCTCTAAGCTAAGAAGTTTGGGATACTGTATGAATTTTAGCTTATCAGCATCCTCTTTAAAGTGTGACAGAGACTAAAGAAGAAAACATATATATAAGGTCTTTTAAATTAACTCATTATTTTCACACACATGTTGAGCCTAATTCAGGAAGACCAAGGAGAAACTGCATCAACCAAAATCCATTTATTGCATGATTCTTTTAGCACCAGAAAGTATCTGCTTGTTCTGTGCCTTCATGCCCCTACACCTGTGGTGAGCAAGCACATCAAAGGGAGCCAGCCTGCTGAGGAGGTGCCTTGGACTCCAATTCATCCTTTCTAAATGCCGTTAGTAGCTAACCCTGGGCTGAATAGTGTGTTGTTATTTCTTATGTTCTTAGTTAACAGAAACATTATTTCAGTTCCTTCTCTAAGAATCTATGGTATGAAGTCCAACAGAAATAGAGGAATTACAAAACAAATTCTTTATTACATTTGCTTTTTGTGTAATTATTTGTCTGCCTCGTCTATTTTAAGATGCTTTGGCCCCTTCTTCAGAATCGGACTTACAAAAGTCTTTCATTAATATGTCTTAATATCTATGGTTTTGTCAGATTTTCACCATCAAGTGAACCAGAGTTGAGGCAAGAGTTTTTATAATTCAAACAAAAAGTCTTTTCTGTCTGTGGAGGCTCTCACTGTTATTGAAAGCCAAAACCAAAAGGTGCTGTCATGCTCCATTAAATTGAGACTAAGTTGTGCCCACCCTCCCCCACCATCACCAACTCTGTGTAAAAACGGGGAAGTCTAAGAGACTTTTTAAACTACTGAATTACTTGCCACCAATTCTACAAAACTCCGTCTGCTGAGAAAACCAGCTGCAATCAGTGTGGCAGGTGCTGCCGTTCTAAGCTCATCCTTTCTCACATAACCCAGCCTGAGGCAGCCATAAAGGGAGGAGGATGATGATCAAGGAGGCTGCATGACCATCTTCCCACGTTAATACTCAGGAGTCAAAGGCAGCCATTCTCAGGGCTGCAGAACCCATCCTACCTCCCATCCCAAGTGGTTTCCTATTTGCCTAGCATTTTTCTTTCTTCATGACAAAGGGTCATGGAATGCATCTGTTCCTTATTACACAGAAATAATTCTGGGGTCTTGTTGTGAACATAAGAAAAAAAAGAGCAAAGTATTGTAGTGCGTCAGGGTTCGTGTTCCTCATGTAGTATAAATATTTTAACACTATGTACATACAGTATTTCTACCCACTTTAAAGATGCTTCCCAAGTCTCCTTAGCAGCCATACTGCCTGAAATTCCAAGAACTTGAGATTTTTTTTTTCCTTTTGGCATCAAGGTCATCATTTTGTATAATAGTATCCACTGTTTCTTCCAGGTTACCAAATATATTTGCATTCACAAATCACTCTCCCTGTCCCATGTCTTATTGTAAAGCGCTTGTCATAAATTTCTGCCTTAAAACTGAGACTGGCATTACCTGAAGGGGAGGAAAGCAGAGGATTTGCTTTTAAGGATCACAGCTACACAATGTAAATAAACACATAGGTATCCTTATAGAGTGAGAGAGGGAAAACACCACTGTTACCAGGAAGAAACAAAACATACTGGGGAAAGAAGTGCACGAGGAGCCAGAAAAGATCCTTTTAATCCTGCTTTGGCCCTTAGCTAGTCCTGACACCTTGGAGAAATCCCTCATCCTTGCTGAGTCTCAATTTCCTCCTTCAAGAAAGGGAAAAATAACCTTTGTCTCATGCCTAGTAAGAGAGTTGAGGAATCACACAGGAAGACCTAAAACTCTATGCAATGCTTATGCTTCCAAAGCAATAATAGTTTTGGCTTCTAAACGGTTCAGGTTGGGAATACCTCAAGAAGCCTATGATAGAAGTCTGTCTGCTACAACATTCATAGAATGATGGAACTTAGACCTGGAAGGATCCCCTTTAGATCTATCCTCTTATTAGCTAAATAAGGGAACAAAGGACAGAGTGCAACTCAGAATATCTAGTAAGCATTAGAACCCAAGGGCCAGGACTCAACGGAGCCATATGGCTCACTCCCTCGTCCAGACTTCCTGGGGTTATTTACCTAAAAGACAACACCGCAAAAATTGAGAGGCCCCGCGTAGGCCAGGGGCTGAGAGATGTCATGTCATCACACAATTCCTTAGCCAAATTCCCAATCTCCATAACAAGATATCTCTCCCCTCAGCACTTCTAAGCCACAAAAAGCCATGTGAGTGTCTTTGTCCGTGTGCGTAGAACTTAAGACCAATTATTAAGAGCAAAAAAATCCCGGTAGGGTTGAGGGGAGAAAGGACCTGTTAATACAAGTTCCTCAGTCACATTTATTCCCCCAGGGAGAGGGGACCCTGGTGGGCGGAGGTGCAAGGGCGTGAGAAGACTCAGAACAAACAGATTCCTAGAAACGCTCCTTGTCCCCTGTTTTGCCCAGCGAGCCCTTTATTTTCTAAAGAGATTGTAGACCCCAGAAGAGAACAGACGGCCTCGGCAGAGACTGGAAGAGGGGTCCCCTGGCCAATCAGACCCCTGCCCTACCACATCCCCCAACAGGCGCACACTCCGAGGAGGACGTGCAATCCCTTCCACCTTCCAGCAGCTCCGCACGCTCCTTTCCGGGAAGTGCCCTGGGGAGAGGCAGCTCCACACACCGTCCGAGGAACGCTCAGATGAACATGGAAGAGTCGCGAGACCATCGGGCAGTAAGGTCCCGAAGCAGAAATTGTTGGTGGGTGGTCTCTGCGGAGTCCCCCAGCGTCGTGCGCGCACCCCTGGCCTCCCCCCATGCCCGATGCCCGCCGCAGGGCGCGGCAGGAGCTGCGCAGGACTTCGGGGTGCAGAGCTGCCAGCTTTGCATGCGGCCAGGGACGGGAGAGCGGCACGCCGCCCGGAGGAGGGGTCGCCTTAGTCTGTGCGTGAGACCTTATCTTAGGGGCCCGGGGAACACGTGTGAGGTTAGGACCAGAAGCGCGCGACGCTGTACCTGCGCTGGACTTTTTAAAGGTGGATCAACTCCGCCCGGATCCCCGCAGAGCCCACGACCCCCTGAGAGGCAACCCCGCGATCTGATGAGGAAGGGCAAGGGCTGGGGGTGGAGACACTGAGGAACCCGTGATTGTGGAGCTGGCGAGGGCCGAAGGAGTGTGGGAAAGTGGGAACCACCACCCCGCGAAATTTGAGAACCGGGTCCTGTCCCGCAGAGGCCCCGGGCGCTGCTGGTGGCCCTGGCCGGTGGATTCCTTTCGTCCTCAAGAGCCCACGTCTCGGGGCCCGAGGCACCGAGGCTCGGGGTCCTGGAGGGACCCTCTCCTGGCTCATCGATCCAGTCCCCGTCCCCGCCTCCCCGTTTGCAGCCGGGGCCTCAGAGCACGTGCGGCTCCGAGCCCAGCTCCCCCTCGTCCCCGATGTCCACCTCGTCCTCGGGCTCGGTGAGCGCGAAGGGGCCGCCGGCCAGGCCGGGCCGAGCGTCGGCGGGGGCGGCCTCGGGGCTCTCGGGTCCGTCCGGAGCTTTAGGCTCGTCCTGGCTTTTCCTCAACTGCTTCTTGTGCTTCATCCTCCGGTTCTGGAACCACGTTTTCACCTAATTCCGCAAAGAAAGGGGGGTAAAAATACTGACCTTATTCCTTCAAGCCCATGGGAGAAGGTCTGGGCGATTATGCGGGTTTAGGGGAAGGAAATGCAGTCCCTTGTCCAATTGTCCCGTCGGTAAGTCACTCCAGAACTAACAAGGTATGTCTCAGACAGAATCATTCTAAATGAAACACCCCAAGTGTCCCCAATATCATTGACCCACAATAATGTTGAGAACCAAAGGGATGTCGTTCCTAAGAATTCTTAGTACTGTTACGAATTACAGCTGCTAGCAGTAAATTCTGTGGTTCTTCTGGCTACTAAGGCATCCAAATACTTAGCCCCCCACAGCCTGCAGCCGGAAGACTCCCTCCTCATCAGAAAACCAAGAAGTCTGAGGTTTCCTTTCTGTCTGGGCATTACAATAGGGAGGAGAAGAAGCGATAGGCGAGGCGGGGACTCTGGGGTTGATGGTGAGAAGTGTGGGGAACAAGATCCCCCAGTCCTCTCCACTCAGGACAGGAGTCAAATGGAGTGAGCCTATACCGAATGCGCTTGGGGTGGGCGTGAGAGAGAGTGACGAAAATGAGAAAGCAAAGGACACATTGTGATTTCAACTCTCACGTTACTCCTGATCCGGGTGAAGGCCTGACTGGAGGGAAGAGTTCCAAATTCACCCAAGTTTTCCCTTCGTGTCCAGGGATCTGCTTGAGTCTGTCCAATCGATCAATTGCGAAGTTAGGGTGCTCTAACTGCCTTGGGAGGAACTTAGGATAAGAAGACTAAGAGTCACCCCCACTCCAAGAGCTCTGCACTGGGCAAGTGGGCCCAGCTGGTGTCAGGAACGGGGGTGGGGGAAGCGGGCAAAGCCGGGCGTAGGGGGCCTCCCTCTCCCTCCGCCCACCTGAGTCTCCGACAGGCTGAGAGCCGTGGCCAGTTCCACCCGCTCCGGCGTGGAGAGGTAGCGCTGGATCTCGAACCTCTTCTCCAGACCCGAGAGCTGCGAGTCGGAGAAGACCGTGCGAGCCTTGCGGCGGCGACAGTGCTTCCCGGGCAGCTCGGCGTGCGGCGGGTGCGGGAACAGCGCGGGCACCGGGAGCCCTGGAGGGGAGAGCAGAGGCCGCGGGCGGGTCACCGGGCGCAGCTCTGCTCCCTTCTCGCCCCAGCGCCTCGCCCGCCTCCCGCAGGCCCCTTCTTTGACCCCAAAGGAGCTTCTCCCAGGAACCTCCAGTCGCCAAAAGAAAGAGAGAGAAATGGACTGAAAAGAACGGTGCTAGGAGGCCTTTAGCACGAAGGCACAAACAATAAAGCTAAGTAAAATAGAAAAGAAAATTGAAAAATAAATCTGGAGGCCTTAAAAACTCTCTTCTTGAAGCGCCTTCCTTCGTTTCTGCCTGCGCCTCGCAAAGTTTTCTTGCAAACATCAGGTGTTCCCCTTCAGCCTCCCTGATCCTGGGGACACCAGCATCCTCCCAGAACCCTGCTCTGGGTTGAAGAATGAATGTGATCTTTTCTCCCATTTCCCCAAAAGAGGCGCCAAAGCGAATAAAGCAAAAACCCTTTTGCACGGAGCCGGAGCCAGAGTCGCTGGGGCTGGAACAGGGGCGATTCCCGCCTTGTACATTTCCTTGTCAGTTTCAGGGTCGCACGGAGGACAGTGATCTTTAACCTGCTCCTCCCCCCACCCCTTTCCCTTAGTCCTTCTGACTCTACACCCAGAAAAGCAGGTGTTTCACTTTGCGATTGAGGTGCAAAGCGCAGACGGAAGCTCGAACAAGCTTCAGTCAACATTGCTCCATCCAAGAACAATGAAAAGAAAAATCGAATCCAGTAATTGTGGCGTTAGCCAGTGTTATCTGGGGGTTAGAGGGGACACGGGGGCAGTCTATCACCACTTCTCCATCCCACGCCCAGGGTCTGAATTGTGCAGCTTCAGCTTCACTAAAACACCTTGAGATTTTTGCCCTGGATTCCAGGCCCACGATTTCTAAACATGTCTCATCCTGGGTTGATTTTCTGCCCCTGTACTTCAAATCTTCTCAATATTTTTTATTGACCAAAGACTGTTGGGGGGGGGGAAAGCTTGATTAAAGCCTTTGAGAGAGAAAGAGGGGGGGAGGAAAAGGCTTGATTAAAGCCTTTGAGAGAGAAAGAGGGAAAAGTCTATTTCCTCCAACTTCTCTGTTAGAAAGGAACTCTGCTAGCCCCGCTGTCTTTCTGGACCTAGGATATCAAAACATTTAGTGCCGGCCTCTGGCAATGCAGGCAGCTGGGGCAAAGAAGCCCAGTCTGGCAGCGATTGTGAGTTAAATGCCAGGCCTAGTTGTTTGCTAAAAAGGAACTTCATTCAACGACCTGTTTCTTACCACTTTTCTTTTATCCTAGTCCAGACTTCCCTCCTCAGAGCACCACAAATCTTCATACACTTCAAATCTCCAAATGCTCGGCAAATTCTCAGTGCTCAGAGGGAGAACCTAGCCCAGTATTACGATTTTGTGCTTCTGAGCTGAGAGGATGTTGCATTCTCCTGACAAGGAAGAGCCAGGATTGAAGATGGATGAAAGCAGCCCACCAGAAAGAGGGGACCCCTCTAAGGGAAATTGCCATCACCAAAAATATTGTCAGTTTCCTCTCAACCAAGCATGTCTCTCCTCTGTTGTTAAAAGTGCTGGAAGACTACCCATGTTCTCTGTACTCAAAGGACTCTGTGTACTGTCAGCTATATCCCTGACTTCCGCTGTCACTTAGGTCCAGAAACTATGACAAAACTGCTCCTGTTCTTGCCCTCTGGACTCCATCCCAGACTTGAGGCTGACCTGAAGGACTTGCTCCTTTCTATTTCCCAACGGGCCCTTTACTTACCTGAGGTGGTGAGGAAATATGGGTGATGGTGGTCCCCCTTGTGCAGAGGGTGATGGGGGTGAGGAGTCAGGAGGGTGGGTGTGGGCATGAGGGGGTAGCCGTAGTCTAGCAAAGGCACCCTCGAGGCCAGTGAGCTGGCGAAATGGTCGGGGGCTACCTCCCTCAGCGGTTTGGGTTTGTGCAGCAGGATGTCCTCAATGAAGAAGGATGTGGGCCTCTGAGAAGACGCTGGGTGCAGAGGGGAGGTGAAGTTAAGATTCATCTTGAGCTGAACGCGTGCCACAGAGCAAAGGCTGAGGACCAAGTGTGGAAAGCTAGCAGGGTCTCGGCTAGCCTGGTGGAGAGCCGACAGCCACCCTCTGGAGGCTCGAGGCTCGGATCCTCCCTGCTCTCTTCCCGGGCCTAGGCTACTACCCCTGGCGCTGGAGCGACAAGCTTCTGGGTGGGGTGAGTCTATGTGCAGGAGAATTGGCAGCTGGAAGAGGGGAGTCAGAAGAGCCAATGGCAAGGCTGCCAGCAGCAGAAGGGAGGGTGCGGTGGGCTCGGGGCGGGGCGGGGAGCTGTCCTCGGTGCTGAATACTTCTGGCCAGACCAGTGGAGAAAGGCGTCCTCTGCGTTCTTGTTTTCACTGTCCGTTTCTGTCCTCCCTCAACTTTTGGCCCAACCCTGCAGAAGCTCGATCCCAGACATTTATCCTAAAACTAAAAGGGGAAAAGTCCTTGTGTCTTACAGTCTTCTTTAGAGAGAAGACATTAAATGGGCCCACAAGAGCTAAAGAGCGCTTATTCGGACATTTAGGTGTGAGTTTTAAGAGTTTAGAAAAAGGGAACCTCTTTTAGGAAAGACTGCAAAAGGGAATGGGCAAAATAGAGGATAAGATGAGGGGAAGAACTGTCCAAAAGGAATATCTGATTAGGCATTATTCTGTGACAACAATCTGGAACATTGCGGGGGGGGGGGGAGAAAATATGCAGCAATAAATTAAAAAAAATAATTTAAAAATAAGGAGGATAGGATAATGGGAGGTCACGTTTTCCGGATTCAACTGAAGTTAATGGCAGAAGAGAGGCCTGTTTCCATAGTGTCAATGTGGGGATGTCATTCTTCTAAATCGCTTTCCATATCTACCTATACTTTAACCAAGTCATTTGATCTGTGTAAATACCCCCCTCCTGGAGGCATCCCCCACTTAGGTTCCAATTCTCATCTTTCCCTGCTTCACATATTGCTATTTCTTCCCTGCTGCTCCTGCTGAGTCCCACAGAACAACTTTACAGAGCTCCAGTTCCCTCTCCCAGCTTTTTGCCTTTCATTACCCTCCTCCCCATCTTTTGTTTGTTTCTGTTTGTCTTTTTCTAATACGTCATATTTATCTCCCTGGAGTCAATTTTCCAAAATTAAGGTGATCAGCTACAGCACCGCCTGGGTAATTTTAGCTCGCATCTCCGAAAATTGCTCTAATTACTGATGTTAAACTCAGGGAAATTAAAATAAGCCACTTCTCTTCCATCTCCCCATTTTTAAGCTCTAATTTGTTGCAATCTAGTCATCATCACAATTCCAATCACTACTGCTAATAGTAAAAGTGTTTTAATAGAAACTGAGTCCGCACAACCCATGCTATTAGATAATTAGAGGAGGTGTTAGAAAGCCAAGTGCTAATCCTTGGGCGCTCAGGGTCGGATTTCCATCTGATCTAGCAGGTAGAACAAATTAATTACCAGAATCAATTAGGCCCCAAACTACAGTGCTCCAGGAAGTGGAGCTTTGAATTCCATATGGATGAATTGATAAATAAATGCAGAGACTGAGAGAATGGAGGAGAAGGAAAAACAACTTCGTTTAAATGTCTTGGCAAGTAGGTCTCTAAATGAAGCCAGAGTGTTTCGCCTTGCCTCTGCAATGTGATTTCTGATTTGACAATTACAGCTGAAAGTCCAAAAGCAGGTGGCCATAGAGAAAGAAAAGGGCAGTGGATTTTCGAGGAGTCTGTCCCTAGCCACTCTGCCAAATACAGTCATCTCCCACAGAGCTAGGGAGAAGGAGAAGAAAGAGGGGGACACTGGGGGTGATAATCCAAACCTCACCTTTACTCTGACGTTCCCGACTCCCTATGAGTGAGCTCCTAGTGTCTAATGCCTGGAGATGAAGCTCCCCAGCCTCCTGACACTAAAGTCTGAGCAATACAGAGCGGGGAGAGGGTGCAAGCCGACTTCAGCCTCGGTAAAGAGCCTGGCGATACCTAAGATTCCTCAAGCTCACAAATTGCAGATCTGGACCAAATCTTGAGGGAGTGACGCCACATTCACCTCTGGGCCAAACTTCTGCTGTCAAACAGAAACAAAGTGACTGTAAGATGTCTCTTCTGTAGCAGGAGCAGTAAAAATCGTCACCGGGAGGGAAACAAAAAATGAAGCAAGTCACTGCACAGCCTATCAGCACTACAGCCTTGTCCGGAGAGTGGCTGGGGGCTCAGGGGAGCGAAGGGGCGGAGAGTGAAGGGGTAGGCGGCCCCATCTGATCGCACCCTCCCTCTGCTCCCTGCGTCCTGAACCCTGCACCCCGCTGGTCCGTGTAATGCTAAGGCTGACTAGCCTGGGCCCTGCGGCTCGAGGCGGAGAGGCCAGTGGGGCGCGCCTGTCACGTTCGCGTTCTCCTAGTTTAATTTGCTCAAGGCGGTCTTCCTGACACCTGAAGCTGGTTTCTTGTTGATGTTTTGTTTTAGTTGTTCGGGAATGCGCTATCCTGCGTTTGCCTGGACCTCAGTAAGTACTTAAGATGTGAGAGACCGAGGGGGGCAGGCAACCACCACAAGTTGAACCTCACACATGCTTTCCACCCCCCTCCCCTTCTCGTTCTAGCGCTGTTAGGAAACAAAGCTTGGTGGCTGAAACCATGCAACCCCCGGGCCAAGACCAAAGCTTGTCCCTGTGGCGCAGAAGCAGCAACCGGGATCCCAAGTGGAGGCGGGATCCTCAACCTCCGTCTTTAACCTCCTCTCCCTGGACTCTGAAAAACTACAGGTGGGGCTTGTCTTGGGCGCACTGTGGGGCCAGCTTCCTGCTCCCTAAAGCAGGGGCTTTGCAGGAGGGTCTGTCCTGGAAAGAAATGTCCTCTGATCCAGCTTCTAAAAGAAGTTTCGCTATCGTAAGGTGGCTGCTGAGCAGAACCGGTGGGAAATGATTATGCCAGCTGATCCCCTGAACCCAATCCACACGGCGGGCCTGCTCCCCCCCTCCTGGAACCTTGTCCGGGCCTCTTCAGATCGACTCTAGTATCTGCTACAGTATCGTACCCGGTTGTCAGTTCTGCTGGTTGTCAGTTCTGCTAGGCACACCCTACATCTCCCCCTACCCACCTCGGCAAGTAAAGCCAGATTAGGGTGAGGAGGTGAAGAGAAGACATGGAATACCTCCACGTACTCAGGACAATCTGAATAACCCACAAAGGCTATCTTTTTAGGAACCTTTAAAAATTGACCTTTGAGGAGATGAGAAACTATTTTTCCCTTAAAAGCTGATATTCCATTCCTTGGATTATCTCTAGCCCAGCTGAACAATAAACGTAAAATACAAGCCAAATGGATAATTTAGATTTTTCTGATATTTCCACCTGAAGAAGAAAAAGAAATTGAATTGGCATAGTTTTATTAGGTAATAAAAAAGATTTTTTGAGGACAAATATTACATGATGCCACTGTTGGGGAGAGACTGAGTAAGATGGGTTCAATAATGTATACTGCACTGAAGCAGAGGAGGGAGAGAACCGTCTAAAGGAGAGATGTGACTGGGTATTTCTGTCATCACAGGAGACTAGAGCGAGGGCTGCATGGTGGAGGGGACCTGGGGGAGGGTTTGTAAAACAATGAAAGAATCTTTTCTTTTACTTTTCCATAATTTTTGGACTCATGTACATATAACTTGTTAGTCAAATTTTTGTCTTCTAGGTTGCAACACCCCCATGATACATCTTCAAGGATATGTACATGTACAGCCAAGCACAATCAATAAGAGTGCATCTGAATTCCAAAATCAATCTCCATAATAGTCTATGTGTTTCCTACTGCCAAAGGGGCCCTTTAGAGTAGTGAGAGAAGATCTTCACCCTGAAACCCACAGCGTCCCTTTTCAGCAGGAAGTAGCTAAGAGAATACGCCGTCCCCTTTTCCTTATGACTCAGGGTGAAGTCTCTCTCAGGGAGGAGTGATAGGGAATGGCAAAGGATACACTGACAAAGAAGATTAATCAGAACTGGCTTTGACAAGCACTGTGGCATTTGGACACAAACTGGGAGGAGGGTAGAGAGAATAGTGCAGCAATGAATGAGTGGAAGCCCAAAATCTCTGTAAATGTTTATGAAAATTAATAAAATATAATTATAGAAAAAAAATTTTTTTGCCATAAAAAAGATTTTAAGTAAATACACATGGGAAATTAATTTTAATGTATTTAACTTAACCTCAATATGTCTAACATATTTCAACATGTGACCAAGATATAAATTTTTTCTTTTATATTGATGTACTTTATTTTCTTGTGATTTTAACAAAAGTTTACAGAAAAGTTGGATTTTCGTTCACTCACTGTTGCATATTTTCCTCCTTCCCCCTCCTCTAGTCCATTTACAAGGCACCCCTTATTCTGATTTCTATCATATATATAATGTCTAAACATATAATTCCTTTTTAAAAATATAATTCCTTTTAAACAGTTCTTTCCTCATCTGTTCCAATGCAATATTAATTACCTATCCACTCTTTTCCTATTCTCCTCCCAAACTCCCATTTCAGTCCTGCTACAACAGTGGTGTTATACAGTGTTAGTCCTTTTGTGACTGAGATATTTTGGTCAGCATAATATCCTCCAGGTTCATCTACATTGTGTAATGTTTTATGAGTTCATTGGTTTTCAGTGCTGTGTAGTATTCCATTGCATGAACATACTATCGTTTCCTATCCATTCATTTGTTGATGGGCACTTGGGTTGCTTCCATCTCTTTGCTATTGTGAATACACAGCATTAAACACGGGTGTGCATACTCTGTTTGAGTGGCCACTCTGGTTTCTTTAGAGTATATTCCCAATAGTGGAATTGCTGAGTCAAATTTTATTTCTATTTCCAACTTTTTGAGAAAGTGCTAAACCACCTTCCATAGTGGTTGCATCATTTTACACTCCTGTCAGCAGTAAATAAGGCCCCCAACCAATCTCTCTATAAACTTGCCAGCATTTGTTAGTTGCTGCTCTGTGGAACTTTGCTATTG